ATTGTTTTATTTAAATGTTTGATATCGTGCAAATCATGTGTAAAGCTATTAGAACGTATATATGTAAATGTATACTATATGTTTTTTACCAATCGAAATTCTTTTCAAACAGCAGCGGGAGCTGTTCCAAATTTGGTCGAATACGAATACAAATACTTTATTAAGGTGGATCATTGGCATATATTTCCTCATATAGAATTTTCTTAAACTCCGCCAGAATGTAGATATTTCCATGTTTTTTTCAAAAATATAATAAAAAGTATGTGTACCCGTGCTATTTTTCAAGCTGCAAGTCGTGCAAAATTGCCCAAATTTGAATAGATTGTTTATGAAAAAACACTTTTTTGTGAATAAAAAGAAATCTATGAAAGAGAATTTTGAAATAAAATATCAGAAGATAGGTTTTGAAATATGCTTTGAGAAAATAAAAATAAAAATGTTGTCACTGACCTTGATTTCTTGCTACAAGTAAAAATTGAAAATTTCTCTTTCATTCTTTTATAAAAAAATATACTATTTGAGCTATCTTTTCCTAAATGGCTAAGTTGGCCATTTGATTCGAACAAACACAAATATTTGGTATTTGATAAATCAGTCTGAATAATGCAACAAATAATGCTCGGAAAGTTGTTTTTTTTCTCCACAAGAATAAGACCATTACTTAAATTCTAGTCATATTCATGACTCATTGTAAATGGATGTTTCCAGAGAGGATCCATCTGTGAAACAGATATTCCATAACGATCAACCAACTTGTGATGGTGACGGTCAAATGTTTGAAGGGGTGACTTCGACTTCAACACTTTGACTCCTTAGTCTAATAGCTTTCTTGTAAGCAGTAACCCTCTTTCAACGAAATCTAAGACAATTAATCAAAAGATGTTGTTATCAATTAACAAATCACACACAGTTTACCTTCAAATTAAACAATAATTTAACCTTTAAATGATAAATTACTAATAAAGCTAACGCTAGCTGACAACAACCAACCAATAAATTAATAAAAACAAAAAATCCAATTGTCAATTCAAATCCTTTACGTAAAGGGACACAATCCAAATCATTTTTATGTAAGGAGAGATACGTTATTGGTGCTTAGGGTGACAGTCGTTTAACGATTTTTTCCAAACAGGTTCCTATATAAAACAGTTTTTGGGTGAAAATAACACTTGGAGGTGAGGGCAGATGACTCTTAGTTATTTTTGCTTGTTTATATATATGTTTTCAAATCTCTTTCGTTTTTGTTGTTGTTTATGATTTGTATTTGTCACAAGTATAATTTTTATTCTTGTATGACAATGAAAAAATTAAAAATATCAGGAGAGACATTTCACACCCTTTTTATGAAGTGAAACAATTCATTCAAAACTTTTTGACGTAAGGGTAAGCCATCTTTATGGATTTATATCTGGAGATACTATTAACACCCTTTTCTTAATATGTAAGGCAATACAGTTCAAATCTGTTGTTGTAAGAAGTTACCATCTTTAGGATGTATGTCAAAAGTAACAATTTACACACAATCTTTTTATTACAGAGACTCAAGGGAGATACCCTTAAAAGACTACCATGAAGGCAAACGTAACCGTTTAATCTTGTTGATCAATTTTACAATATATATAAATGGGGAGATGTGGTATGATTCCCAATGAGAAATTATATACCAAAGTATCCATTACAGGTATGAGCAAGCATGTACTCACTCTATTCACCAAAGACCAAAGGACAAGGATGTAAACCAAAACAGGTATTTTCCGAAGATTTCTCGTCAATCGAAAACATAAAACAATTACTGTTTTCCCCCAATTTGCACCGATTATAAGCTAGATTTTACTTCTTTTAGTCGCTCTTACTTGACCGAGTACCAGAATGACCTACCACAGAGTAGGTAACCTGTCGAAAAATTACATACTCAGGATTCAAAAGTCGGTAATATAAAAATCATCTATTAGTAGCAATGTATGAATTTCATGGCTCCTTATTGAATACCTCATTTTGAATTTGTGATGAAAACAGCAACAAAAGCGCTGTTACTGTGCTTTGAAAATTTATGTATGTCGATTGATGCCTCATTGGCATATATAATAATTATTTGTTTTCTTAATTTGAAAAAATTACGAAAATATTCAAAATTATTTGGGAGTTTTTAAACCTCATTTGAGATCCGATTTGAAAAAAAAATAATATTAATGAAAGAGATTTATTGTCTATATCAATGACACAGTAACCAAACGACATAAATAAGCAAAAAACATCTAGAAGTAATATATATTGAGATTAATAAAAAGAAAAATATGAAATTGAACACTTTATGAATTTTCTTCACGTGACGTCATATCATGTTGACATTATACATCTAAATATACAGTTTAAACCAAGATAGAACTGTGACTCGATCTTAAAATATGTATTCCTCAGAAATGGTATTTGGATTTTCATCTTTGACGGGGTTCATGGAATCTTGTAATAAAGATTGACCAAAGCACCATAAATTGTAGATGAATCACCAAATGGCGGAATAATATGTTTTGATATTTTTGGAAAGAAAATTTCATTAGGCACCGGCCTCATCAACAGGATGTAACCAGTTAAGCCACTGAATATATACGCAATAAAATGTAGTTCCCAAAATATATATTTCTCACGTCTTAGTAAATATGTACAAATGAAATGTCAAAAGTTTGGTAATATCCAAGCAGAGCGTTTAAAAAAATGAATGTCATTAGTCTTGAAAATTTACTGGCTAGTTTTGTCTATATTATTTAGTAAGAGTTTTGATACAATACCAGTATAATTGACTATTGTCATAATCAAAGAACAATTAAACACAAACGGTGGACTTTTTAAAAACAACCATGACTTGGATGAAAACTTGGAAGAATTCATAAAACACCTGCATATCTCCGCTAGTACAAAATGCATGACTATATAGATTCGTCCTACAACCAAAAGATGACGTATTAAAGTTGTTCATCACAAATTGACCCTTTAATAGAGATTTCAAAACAGGTAATACTTGTACCTGCAAGATATCATATTAGACATTTGCGGAAACTGTCATACACCTACGATTAGGATTACAATTACACTTTCAGGTAGCATTTAGATCTTGGGTCGTCTCAAAGTGTAAATATAAACCTTTGTTCCAAAACAAATTCTAGCTCATATGATGTTTTTCTATAGTTGAACAACTGGATTTTTAAGAAATATATGAAGTAATATGTACACATTTATTATTGTACATGGTGTTGTCCAGTTTCAACATGCTGTAAATGTAAGGAGTATGATAGAATGGACAATCAGCATTTAATAAATTTTACAAGAGACATTAAAAAAAAAATCGTATTGTCGTTGGCTAGGTTGGGACAATTAGAAATTAATTTCAACAAGACTTAGAATAAAGAAATGACGATCAACTAAGGAGCATTTTGACAATATTTAATGTTTATGCTAACTCATATAGTTTCCATATTTTTTGAAAGAAAGAAAATGAGGGTATGCAGAGGTTGGGTGCTTAAGCACCATTTATTCTTGATGGCATTATACTTGGCGTTCGGTATATTTCTATTATCTTTTATTTTTTCTGAATTAGGCAAACACTTTTTGTCCACGTTTTTAGTATAAAATAAATCAACAATATAAAAAAAAGCACAACATTGTTATCAATGAACATCTTTGTATTGAATTTATAATTTAAAATATTCGTCAGAATCTACTGAAATGCAAAATAGGAGTATTCAAAGAGTTGGAATTTTACTATCTATCTTCTCATATTGAACAAAACCAATACCGGGTCTAGACCTGCATTGAACTTTGACGAAAATTTTCCCTGAGCAATAAGACTTATAAAATTTCAAACTATCAGCTATAGGAAGTGGCTGCACGACAGATGTACAAATAGCTTACACGCTGCAACTCACTAATTATTAAGTTGCAGACCATTTCTTTCTCTAGAGGCGGCCAGGAAAACGTTGAGGAAAGTTTTGTACGCAAGGTCTTTCGAACAGATGGACGGACGCACAGAACCGAGCAGTTACTAGACCTTCCTTCGCCTTCAGCGACGCAGGTAAAAATGACTACCAGGTTGTGAGTTGTTTGTTTTTTGTGCAGTTTTTATAGAGATATTGGGAATCAATTGAGTATAGACGTTTTTTTTTAAAGGTGTTGATAATTATTTCTCTCCCATAAACATGGGCGGGTCTGGTCTGATCGACTAAAGTGCACTTATGACACAAAGTTTATCCGCAAAATTATTCCGTTGATTAAAAGGGATAAAAGGTGCAAAGGTATATCAGGTGTGAAGAAATTGTTAAAAAAATCGTAAACTATTCAAATCGGTTAGGGAGCAGTTTCGGATACAAATGTAATCGTGAAAACGAACGACATTGATATTTCAAAAGCACTATGCTACGGCGGGCTTAATAATTATATTGTTTTACTTGCTTATCGCATATTCCCTGATTTTCAAGTGCACCGTTTGTAGAGTACCCCCTGAACGATTTTTTGCTGATTTTGCTATACTAAAACAAGGTAAGACACAATTTTAGAACTGAAACAAAAAGATTATAATCCATATACAAGACAACAGATTGTTCGCAAAACCCAGGATACGAAGACGAAGTCTAAAAAATCATATAGACTTATTACACACTATATGGTAAAGCTTCAACACGCCATCGGAGAATGAAAAAAGTATACAAAGTTATGGGTATTTTTTGGTGACATATCCAATACAACGATTCAAATATGTTGTGATCATTTGTGCTGCATTAGTGTGTCGTCGAAAAGTTTTATTTATATAACCAAAAACATCATTTGGTTTTACTTGGTATCTCTATTGTTGTTTTTTTTTTGTTGTTTTTTTTTTTTTTTTTTTGAGATGACTCCTTGTTTTTCATCAACTGTAATCGTAAGTCTAAGTGTAATCCTAGGTATAGATCGACGTAGTTTCCGCAAATGTCTACTAGTACATCTTCAAGAGCAACATCAATATCGTTTTTTTATTTTTCACAGAGTTCTTTACTTCCATACAAAATATGTCTGGCTACTGATCCAATTGTTGTATTCAGATATTTGATATCGTTAAAATCATGAGTAAATTTATAAAAACGAATATATAAATGTATACCATAGTTTTCTGACCAATTAAAATTCTTCTCAAACAGCAGCGGGAGCTGTTGCCAACTAGGTCTTACAAACGTTTTATTTTCAACATGAATTAAACCCGGGTACTTTTTAGATAACAGATACGGCACAATTGTTGAATGATATCCCCACTGACTTTTATTGTACGTTTTGTATTCGGAATGCCAAATGTCCAGGAAAGTAGCGTTTTTCTCTGCAAGAATGAGACCATTACTGAGATTCCAATCAACTGCACGACTCAAGGTAAATGGATATTTCCGTAGAGGATCCAGAGATCTAAGTATAATCTCATCTGTGTCAATGTAAATTCCTCCAAACTCTGCAAAAGAGAAGCTAAAAGTAAGTGTCGAGTGCATACACTTATGCAAAGTAGTTTCAGCAGAACAAATTGAATATTAAAATGGGGTATAAAAAAAATCAATAAACAAAACGATCAATACATAAATCAATCAATACATATATCGATCAATAAACAAATCAATAAATACATACATCGATCAATACATATATCAATCAATGCATACATCGATCAATAAACAAATCGATCAATGCATACATCGAACAATAAACAAATCGATCAATACATACATCGAACAAAAAACCACATCCTGCACTTATCAAATAAATAATCAATTATCTATACCTAAAATAATCATCCAATCAATAAAGGTAGCTGACAAGAGGACAAATAACAAAGAATAAAGCAGGTCCCAACAAAAATCATACTAAACAAATATAATAGACCTATTTGTATTAAAGGGGAGACAATTCAATCCTTATACGTAAGAGGAGACAATCCAAACTTTATTGTATTATAAAAGAGGATACGTTTTTCTAGGTCATCGTCTATGGATGAAAAACAAGAAAGACAACTGAAAACCTTTTCACGGAAGGTGAGGCAACTCATTCAAAAACTTTTTGACGTGAAGGATTTTATGAAAATGACAATTTCCACATTTTTTAGTACAGGGTCCAAAGAATACAACAAGATGAACGCAAAGACAAACCTATTCCCTCTATTTGATCAATTTTACAATAACCAAACGGGAAGATGTAGTATGATTGCCAATGAAAAATTGTCTACCATCGACCAAAAAAGGAAAGTTGACCACAACAGATTTGTACAATGTTGTACTCACTATATCTAGCAAAAACCAAAGGACACGGATGTGAGGGCCACTGCATAAATGTACAATGATGTACTTACTCTATCTATCAAAGACCAAAGGACAATGATGTGAGGGCCACTAAGTGTATGTACAATGATGTACACACTCTATCCATCAAAGATATAAGGACGAGTATGTGAAAGTCACTACATATATGTACAAAGATGTACTCACTCAATCCATCAAAGATCTAAGGACGAGTATGTGAAAGTCACTACATGTATGTACAAGGATGACTTTTGTACTCACTCTATCCATCAAAGATCTAAGGACGAGTATGTGAAAGTCATTACATATGTGTACAAGGATGTACGTAATAGAGTGTACTCATTCTATCCATCAAAAATCTAAGGACGAGTATTTGAATGTCACCACATGTACGTAATAGAGTGTACTCACTCTATCCATCAAAGATCAAAGGACGAGTATGTGAAAGTCACTACATGTATGTACAAGGAAGTACTCACTCTATCCATCAATCATAATAGGACAAGGATGTAATACAATACACCTTTGTACAAGGATGTACTATCGTTATTCTTTAAATAACCACAGGACAAGTATGTTTGGGCCACAACAGGTATGTAAAAGAATGTACTCACTATATCCACAAAACACAAAAGGACAAGGAGGTGAGGGTCACCACAGGTATATAAAAGGATGTACTCACCTTATCTATCAAAGACCACACGGCAGGGATATGAGGGTCACTATACGTATATAATCAAGAATTTACTCACTCTATCCACAAAACACAAAAGGACACGGATGTTAGGGTCACTACAGATTTTTACAAGGATGTACTCCCTCTATCCACCAAATACCAAATGACAAGGATTAAAACAAGTATAGGTATGTAAAGAATGTATTCACTCTTTACACAAAACACAAAAGAACAAGGATGTGAGGGCCACTGCAGGTACATAACAGGATGTACTCACTCTATTCACAAAATGCAACAAGACAATGATGTGAGGGTCACTACAGGTATATAAAAGGATGTACTCACTCTATCTACCAAATAAAAAATGACAAGGATGAAAACAAGTACAGGTATATAAAAGGATGTACTCACTCGATCCCCCAAAGACCAAATGACAAGGATGAAAACCTATATAGGAATGTACAAGCATGTACTCACCTTATCTACCAAAGACCAAAGTAAAGGGGTGTGCTGCATATTTATGTGCGAGCATGTACTCACTCTGTAAAGCCTGTATTCTGCCGATATCAGCTTTGTGTTCAATATTACCAAGGGGTTTTCCGAATACATCTTCTGGTGGACTTCTTTGAACATGCATTATATTTGGCACCAAAGTCAATAGATATTCCCAGTATGTTCCGAATGGAAGGCGGTCTCCATGTACCAAAATAAGACACGGTTTCAAAAATCTACTGGCACTAAGAAAACTAAGAAAATGATAAAAATTCATTTCTCGTTTAGAAAACCAAATGTAATGAACTAAGTTTGGGACCGGTTCTTCATCATGACAATTCTCCATTACAAATGTCCGGAGGCATTCAGAATTTTCCTGGAAAACCTGAACTGTTGCCATTCGCTTAACATTCATAATTTCTATATTAGGTTTTATAATCTGACAATTGATATGAGCTTGCACGTGCTCCGACATATTTGTTATATCAGGCATATCTGCGCATGGTACTTTACAATTGAAATTCCAGTTGTCCGAATTTTCCACCGGACATCTAAACGAAGTTTGATTTTTTGTTCGTTCTTCATGAACATCATTGGTTAAAGTAGTTTCCCTTGTTAAATGTGTCCTGTCACTTAATAAAGCATGGTTGTGGGATATGCGTACAGGACTGGAACCAACATCGAAAGCTCTCTGGTTATCTAAAACCAGAAAAAAATATATATGAGAGAGAGGAGGAAAGAGAAAATAAATATAAGAGATAGATACGAAAATAGACAATCTAACTGATATATTATACAAGATTTTCAACAATTTGACATATAACCATGAAATAAAAAAGGTTACTCAGCTTGAAGACAATCCCGATGACATGGTTTTTAAATAAAACCAAATCAACAAAATTGGTTTGTTGTTGTTGGCTGAAGGTCATGGGGCAATTTTTTGTTATGCATATTCATGACTTTACTAATGAAATTCTTTTGTATTCACATTTTTTTTTTAGATCTGCAATCAGTTTTCGATAAACGGATTAAATTTTTGCCAGTACTGTCGAGTTTTAAGGATTTGGTCACATGTGTGTGTATACTCACGTCATTGTGTTGTTATTCTTACGTCATCGTGTTGTTATACTTACGTCATCATGTTATAATACTCACAATCGTGTTGCCATACGAACAGCATCGTGTTATCATACTTACGTTATCGCGTAGTCCTTCTTACGTCATCGTGTTATCATACAAACGTCATCGTGTAGTCAAACTTACGTCTTCATGGTGTCATACTTACGTCATCGTGTTGTTAGACTTACGTTATCGTGTTGTTATACTTACTTTATCGTGTTGTCATACTAACGTCATCGTGTTGTCATACTTACGTCATCGAGTGGTAATAGTGACATCATCGTGTTTCCATACTTACTTTATCGTGTTGTCATACTTACGTCATCGTGTTGTTAAAGTTATTTTATCGTGATGTTATACTTATGTATGAGAAAATCAATGCATCAATTTCCACTTTTGACGATGAAATTTATCATACATATCCTGTTTGAATTAATTTTCACAAGTCATTTTTGGGCCCTTTATAGCTTGCTTTTCGATGTAAGCCAAGACTCCGTGTTGAAGGCCGTACTTTGACCTATAATTGTTTACTTTTACACATTGTGACTTGGATTGAGAGTTGTCTCAATGGCACTCATACCACATCTTCTTATTTCTATATATGAATTGAAGATTGATTAAGTGTTGTGTGTTTAGCGTCCGCTGGCAGAACAAAAGTTTAGAGCCACCTCAAGGCGTTTGAAAAATATGGCATGACTTGTTGAATGAAAGGGCATACATTTTACAGTTTTAAAAACTGTGATTTATTTTTAAATGACACGTCCATTTGTATATATGTATATAGCTGAAAAAATACAGGAATATAAGAGAGTTCCAAGAACGTTGTTGTTTCAATGTTGAGATAGCAAAAGTCGTATCACGTGACATATTTGTATGCACATCCCTAACGTTTTTTAACACAGGCAAATTAATAATGATTTTAATAGATTTCCACTATAACAAGTTAACCACTTACGTCATCGTGTTGTTATACTTACTTCGTCGTGTTGTCATACTTGCGTCATCGTGTTGTCATACTTACGTCATCAAGTGATAACAATGACGTCATCGTGTTGCCATATCTACGTCACCGTGTTGTCATACTTACGTCATCGTGTTGTTTAAGTTACGTAATCGTGTGTTGTTATACTTATGTCATCGTGTCGTCATACTTATGTCATCGTGTTGTCATTCTTACGTTATCGTGTTGTCATAATAACGTCATCGTTTTAACAAGGTGATCTTGTTGTTACACTTTCATCATTGCGTTATTATACTTACGTCATCGTGTAGTCATACTTACGTTATCGAGTGGTCACAGTTAGGTCATCGTGTCGTTACATAAACAAGAAGTTGTTATTCTGATTATTAGTAGAACAGATTGAAAATCTTTTTGGAATCGGCCCTTGTGTGAAATAAATTCAGGGGAAATTGGACATTCATCTTTTCGGATGCGTAATCAGTGCTCTTCGCTAAATAATAATGGACATGTTGGCAATTATACTATAACACATTAACTTCACTCTGACATAATTATTTACGACTTTACTTAAATAAAGAGGAATGGCGTTATTTAGTTCTGTTTCTGTGCTTTAAGGATATTCGCTTCTCCTGTATTAGAATTTTTGCCAGATATTCGGAATCCTCTGGTTTAATCCATGTAGTGCTATTAAAAAAAATTGCCCACTAACCCCTAATTTTCTTTTCATAATATTATTACATATAGTTTTAAAAGCCGTATTTAAAAATCTTATAAAATCCTTGTTATTTTTTCATAGTTTTTGAAAGAGAAAAGGTGCCAATGTTAAATGTAAGAAATATCTAGAGAGAATAATTTCCCGCCAAATTTTCAATGGCTTATATATCGTAAACAAGCAAATTGACCCTTAATTTTTTTCTGCTTTTTTAGTTCCTTTATTCATATACTATCAATTTTTAACTGTGTTTTAAAAAGCTTGTTATTTTGAAACAGAGTAACAAACATCATTAAGCATGATTTTTACATCTACAAATAATACAGGAATTTACAAGAGTCTTTGATCAACTCTGAATCCTGTTATTTAAAAAAAAAATACTAATTTTCATTACATAGACTTAGAAAATAAATAATGTGATGAGAAAATCTGATTCCTCCTTTGGAAAAAACAATAGATACTTACCACTACTGTCAAATATGGGTTGTTCCACCCGTGCATAAAGTTGTTCTAAATTATATACTATGTGTTGGTTTCTAAACATCAAAAGTAGGCCTAAAACTAGAAAAATAATTAAATTTCTCATATTGTTTCACATTTGTTCCTAGTATATATGCAATTGTGTATGAAAAAGAACTCCAATCTGCTGTATTGATATATCTTTAATTTATGCAAGAAGATCACCAGTGATGACCACGACACATTAACCGAGTGTGAGAAATAAACTGGACAATGTAAATCAATGCATCAATTTCCACTTTAGACGAGAAATTCATTATACACATCAATAAAATGAATGCTTTATTGTTGCTTGTTTAGCGTCCACTGGTAGAACAAAAGTTTAGAGCCACCTCAAGGCGTTTAAAATTTGAACACATGTTGAAAATACGACATAAAGCTGGTTGAATTTAAGTGCACATATTTAACAGTTGAACTGTGATTTTTTTTAAATGACACGTCTATCTATCTATATGTATATATATATATATGTACTAGAACACACCTGCGACATCGCGGGTCCGTGACTGAATTACAGTACCTACGCATTATTTTCAGCCTGGATGTTTAGTTTTTGTATTGTCATTTGATGAAGTCATGCTTATTATAAGTTGCACATTTTTCTCTGCTTTCAAAATCTTTCTGTTTGAAATCGGCCTGGTTTTCTTACTACAACCGGAAACTACTTGTTGATACATGTTTATTGTTTTGGTCAATGATTGAATTTAGTAGTGTCAATCCCTGTATATATAATGACGAAGTTCGTGTGTGATTATGACCCATGTATATAGCTAATCCAATTTACACCGGTGGTGGTTGAACGTCCAGATTGGGTAACAGGTAACATGTACTATTGGTATCGGTGTTGGATTCGACCTGGAACTTGTTAATTATTGGTAATATTAATATAAATTTTCATCAACACCATTGTCCTATATTAGTTATATATGAAGTTGAATTATTTGATTCGTCGTGTTTACATCAAGCGGGCTAAAAAAGTTGGACCTCGTTATTTTAGAAGTATGGATAGTTAAAAAGATACAGTAGATTGAAAAAGTGGTATCACGTGACATTTTTTTTTGCACATCCCTAAAGTGTTTTTAACACGGGCGAGTTAAGCAAATGTAATGATTTTAAAAGATTTCCACTTAAAAAAAATTGACTATACGCTTTTCTAGTTCAACCCCCTCACCCTGATGGAAACCTTTTGTATGGTAACATAGCCGATATGTAACACAGTTGATGTTTTGATACAGACGATGTTGTATTGATAGATTGTGTGTGTAAAATAAAATCGGAAACGGTAAAACTAACTATCTCGGAAATAAATTAGTTGCTCTATCTCGTTTTTAAATTAGTATATGGCATGCATATGCATAATTTGAGAACAGTTTTTAAAATCAATCCACAAAATTCATTAAACAGTTTATCATGTATACATGTATATGAACATAGGTGACGTGTATTACAGTCTTAGACGTAACTTCATAGGGAAGAAACAATCGCTTTTATTATACTTCATGTTCAAATGCTAGATTTTGTTCGATTTATACGAAGGAGATAATTTACTCATTCCCATGGCTTCATTTTCCTGACATTAGGTAGCCTTTTGTGTACGCAGGCAAGTAAAGGAAGTCAACTTTGAAGCGCTGTGAATAGATATTTGGGTATATATATAATATATATTTTATTTTCTATTTATTAATAACTGAAGTGTGTATAATTACAAGATAACTTTTGAAACACATGGAAATATTTTTGGAGTACTCGAAAAAGCTTTAATTTTTCGTTAATTCTATGTAAAATGACGGTGGTCATGGATACAATAAACAAGCTCCGTTCGAAGATGGTCATGCTACCATTTGACTTCAGTTTCTAAAACTAAATAATAAGGTTCTAATATCTCGCGTAACTGTTGTGCACTTTTATTTTAAAAAGTGGCAAATTTAGAAGGTTATTATTGTTACCTATGTAGGAAAAAATACTACCGCTTTCCCTTTTACTCTATTACTCTTCTATTCGCGGAGACGCGTTATCAATTGTGCGCCATATCAAATACGGATTGTTGTAATGTACAAGACGTCATAGTTTATAACTTTCAATTTTTAAGGTAGTAATAACAGAGAGCATTCAGTAAAGTAAATTGAATAGCACATAGATTATAGAGAGTGAGAGAGCTGCAAATTGTTAATTTTTGTATCTATAATAAAACAGGGGCGAAAGATACCAGAGGGACGTTAAAACTCATAAATCGAAAATAAACTGACAACGCCATGGCTAAAAAAGAAAACGACAAACAGACAAACAATAGTACACAAAACACAACAAAGAAAACTAAAGACTAAGCAACACGAACCCCACCAAAAACTAGGGGTGATCTCATGTGCATTAATAATCGAGGGAGCTCTATAGCATTTAGCCTTAATCTACAGTAGCAAGTCTCATAGTAAAGGAGTTTAGTTGGTGCCAATAGGAAAGCGTATACGTTTTATAATGTCGTATCATCTCACTAGTACCTTTTCAATTTATATTGGTTATTGTGAAGTTACAATGACAAAGACAAAGTATATTTTATACAATACATTTAATGTATAAATACAAAAATATATTCATATATGACAGAACGGATGAAAACGACGCTTTACTAGGCGCATTGTTTAAATTACATGCGTCCTCATTACAACAGGTGGTGCATATCCAGCTACTTCCTGTTTGATCACATGGGTCGGATTCCGAATGTTCTTTTATTTGCAGGTGACACGAGGAATTTTTCGTACAGGTCTTGATTATTGAAAGCTGTTCGCTCACCTCTGTAAAAAAGAAAAAAAAAATAACACATCATTTAAAATTATAAATGCATGGTAATTGATAATAATTTAAATATGTCGTATCTGCTTCTTAACAAAATATCTACAAGAGAATGAAATACGTAGTATATTCCTCAATGTCTTCTGTTTACTTGTGTTGATCGGTTGCTGACTCATTGACGCACACTCCACATTTCGTCCGTACAAAATAAATAGGACCACTTAATTAAATTGTTTACAATATATTTGTGAATAAATTAACGAATAAGTCATCAAATTCACATTAGTAATAGCGAACAAAACTGACATGATTCGAAGAGGTTTCTAAACACAATACCTCTTACTAATGGACCTTTCGGTAATTGAAGCAAGGTTGATTATATGTATCAACGGGAAAAAAGTATGACAAATAAAAAGTTGGTACAATGTAATGCCCAAACACATAATTAACAGCACATGGTGATGATTGAATTCCGCAACCTGTTCCGGTCGTTCGTGGCTTTTGGCATTACCTACTGTTAAGAAGTCATCGCATTCACTTTCGTAGCAATAACGTCATTATTTAAATGTATAAGAACTTTAAACGGTAGTGAAAAGAAACTTATTGAACAATCGCAAAAACAGCAACCAGCAGGAACCCGATATTGTACAGACGTTGCTATTTGGTTGAAAATAGGTCGCATTGTTCTAATTTAAATTCGTTTACAGATTGCAACGGTGCAGGATTCTTTGATTTTATTCTATTCATTTTAGAAGAAAACAATGTGGTCGATCGTATGTTAGAACTTCTGGCGTTCTCGATCACCAGGTTAGCTGCGGTGAATTTTTATGATTCATAAATTAATAACAGACTTCTCATGTGTTCATGCTTGCTTCGGACCCAGTTAGAAATTAAACAACTGTACCTAGATTGCAATCGTTTTAAGGTATGATTAATCGCACAGTTACGTCCAATTTATCATGCAGGGCCGATTTCCTTTGAATTTATTCCAGATCAGGGATATTTTGTTAGAGTTCTTAAATCATATATTGTGATTGGTAAACGCGACAAAAGGGCATAAATTCCACAATAGATGATTTGAAATTGTATTCTGTGGTATTTTAGGCTATTTTTCTCTATTCTTTATATTTCACCACTCCATTATTCTCTATTCTTTGTTTTCTTGGCCCATTTTTCTATATTTTAATTATCTATATCATTTGCCCATTATTCCCTATTCTGTAAACCCCCATCCACACACTCAAAATTGGTTAAAAATCCAAAGACAATAACATATTGTATTGTCATTCATTACAAATGCATACATTCAGTTGGATAGGGGGTCTTCATTAATATCCATAGAATTTTTTAATAATTTGTCAAAATGTAGTTTATATCATGCTTTTTTCAAAAATATAAATGCATACACTAAAAGAATTAACGTTGATTTTTCTTGCTCGTCACCAGTAAACAAAATTTGCAACCAGCAAATTATTAATTGAAGCCCGCAAATCCCTCGAAACAATACCTAGTGTTATCTTAATAAATTTCAAAGCTGAATTTCATGACTTCTGGTTTACTTCTGATTATTTAACAAAAATATTTAATTTCTTTAAGATAGCTTAAAAGATCAAATTTGAATAATTCAGACAAATGTTGAGCATTTTCCGTTTAGTTAACTATGTCCTTATATGTAGTTTTTATCCAACGCCATCATAGGTTTGAACGTTTGTTTTCAATTTAGACCTGTTTATATTTTTTCGTTTGGGCTTGTATTATATTTGCCTTCGGATTTATATGATCCTATTTCGACTCTTCAAAATTCAAGAGTCCATTCTAAAGTGAGATAAATTATATGGCCTTCCAAATACCGTTTCGATTCCTAACATCACTGAAGAGATATTAATTGTCGAAATCCGGATATGCTGTACAAATTTTTGCACCTCATGTTTACGGTATACCATCTTTTCCGCAAGTTTTTTGTTTTCTGTTTGGTATTAAATTAATAATTAAGATCCATTTTGTTACATCTGGTGATACGTTTATTTGGCAATCGCCATGGCAGTCAGCAGTGTTTGAGAACATCCGTTGTTTGACCTGCTAGTCAAATGCGTTTTGTTCAAATATACTTTTTCACTTTTTTTGGTCTTTTGGAAAATGTTGTTTGTGCTGTATTTAGACCCCCTCTACCAAGAAATTTGTTTTGCATGCACATCTATAAAAATTGCGGATTTTATCCAACGCAATCATAGATTTGAACGTTGTTTTCAATTTAAACTTGCTTATATGCATTATATTTATACTATTACATTATTTAGCGGTACATGTTGTTTTGAAGTCTTTTTGATACAAATTGCAAATTTTACATTACTTTGAATATACCGTTGTTTGACAAGTATCGAATCCTGAATCACATGACTTCAGATTACATTCTATATAATTAAAACCTGAGTATGAAACTGTTGTCAAACAAATATCGAATCCCAAATCACATGACTTCAGATTATATTCTACGGATTATACCTGGGTATGACACTGTTGTCTGCCAAGTATCGAATCCTGAATCACATGACTTCAGATTGTATTATACCTCAGTATGACACTGTTGTCTGCCAAGTATCGAATCCTGAATCACATAACTTCAGATTTTAGTATACCTGAGTATGATACTGTTGTTTGACAAGTATCGAACCTGTATCACATGACATCAGATTATATTCTGTATGATTATTTATACCTGAGTATGACTTAGCCGTCTTACAGGTATCGAATCCTGAAATACATGACTTTAGATTATATAATACCTGAGTATGACACCGTCGTCTGACAAGTATCGAATCCTGAATCACATGACTTCAGATTATATTATACATGAGAATGACACCGTCGTCTGACAAGTATAGAATCCTGAATCACATTACTTTAGATAATATTATACCTGAGTATGACACTGTCGTCTGACAAGTATTGAATCCTGCATCACACTGCTTCAGATTATATTAAACCTGAGTATGACACTGTCGTCTGACAAGTATCGAATCCTGAATCACATTGCTTTAGATACTATTATACCTGAGTATGACACCTTCGTCTGACAAGTATCGAATCCTGAATCATATCGCTTCAGATTATATTATACCTGAGTATGACAATTTCGTCTGACAAGTATCGAATCCTGAATTACATTGTTTCAGATAATATAAATTATACCTGAGTATGACACTGTCGTCTGACAAGTATTGAATCTCGCATTACATTGCTTCAGATTATATTATACCTGAGCATGACACTGTCGTCGGACAAGTATTAAATCATTAATCACATTGCTTTAGATTATATTTACCTGAGTATGACACCGTCGTCTGACAAGTATCGAATCCTGAATCACATTGCTTCAGATTATATTCTCCTACACACAGAAAGTTGTTTCGTTCATTTTCACATTTATAACACATAAGTCCATGGCTTTCTGAAGAAAAAAAAACGATAATATTACTGTTACTGTCAATTAATCAATTTAGTTTTGAAGCATGGGAGATAACTCTCAATGTTCTTAGTTGAATAACAGAGTTCTCCTTTCAAGCAATAAAGATGTGAGTTAAAACATGTTTGATCTCCACGTGGGGAATGATTTATGTACATATGATCTATATATATAAAATACAATAACAGCCTTTGTATAAGGTCGACAAGTGGGTATATCGACCAAAAACACACTATAAATATTATTACCCACAATACAATACTGCGATTCGGAAACTGTAATACATTCATTTGTTTGTATCGTTGAGTTGCTGTCTTTTCTACATTTACCTTACATATCCCTTTATTTAAATTGGGTTTGTTAGATCCCTTTTACACTTGTACGAATTTGAACCGATCTTTATTTGAATCGATCTTAGAGAGACCAGTTCGATTTACATATGCACAAGCAAGATCGATCGAAATCGATCTTATTTAATCTAGTGCGTTTACACTGCAACTTAAAAAGAACTGGTTTGATCTATTGACTTAACATTTCGTAAACAAATAATGGTAAAAAAGAATAGTAGAATAACGTGTGCATTTCGCGCGGACAATGAGACATTGCAAAACGCATGTAGAAAATAGTTGGATCATTGGAATTTTGTATGCAGATATTAATTCTTTTTGTTTCATACGTCAGAAGTCATTAGGTCTACGTCTTTGAAGACGAGGATTTGCAGCTAAGAAATAGAATGTATCGATTGAGAAAAATGATCCGACAACGGTAGAATATATGTTTAATTTTATTATCCCATCCATCGTTTTTTAAAACACGTGTGTTTTTGTCGCCGAATGTGCGCAGATTTATTTTTCATATCCAATTAAATATAAAATTCAATTGAAGAAAGTTCGATCGATCCAAGCGTTGACACTTGAAGAAAGATCGATTCAAATAAGATCGATCTTTTTAAAACTAACTCTGGAGGTGGATTTTTTAATTCTGATTGAAGATCGATCTTTCCCATTTACATTTTTACAAGTGTATAAGGGGTCTTTGTAAAGTTTACTAGTATATTATATTTACATATATCTATCATACAATAGATAAAAGAAAATTTCATTTAAAAAAAAAAGTCACATGCTAGGTAAACTCAATTTGCGATAGTAAAACTTACGTTTTACGTAGACCAAGCTTAAAATACAATACACATATATCAAATTAGACACCAATTAAACGAAACAAATAAACATATATTTGATTTGTCGCTATTAATAGAATCAAACGATTATGTTCAATTTCTGTCAGTGGACATTTTCTAATTTTATTTTACCCATCATTTATTTTGATAGCTTACAACAGCATGTATTCCCTGTGGAGCCTCTTCGTGACACGGGCAATTAAGACGTAGAGCGTTGAAGCTTACGTTATGTGTTATATCCAATTACCTAACTGTTACAAGTTATGTAAAACTATAAGGGACTATATTCCAAAGCATTATTGTCAAACTAATCTAATTTTAGATTTAATTGTCAATTACATTAAAAAAACTGAAGCATTCATCCCCCGATATGTCATTGGAATTTCTTAACGTTATTTATTGAGCTTCCTTAAGAAGTAACGATTTCTTGTATGGAAAGAATACTACATATAGAAATGATACTGTCTTCTTTTTTTATTGATGATATAACTGTGTAGGAATCTGATAGTAGTAGTTCTTCTGCTAGCTGAAATTTAACTACAGATGTATTTTAAAATATCTAACTCAAAACTGAGCTTGTCTATTTTTTTGAATGTAAAATAAGTTCAAGTATTGTGATGATTATGAGAGAAGAAAAAAAATAGAAAGGGCATGTCCTATCTATACAGAGACGGAATCATAACTTTTGAAAGGGGACTTGAATTGCATAAAACGTAATAGATACTGCCGAGCTGAGCAAGGCGGAATGTTTTTTGGACAGTTACTGACAGCTAGTTCAAAATCAATAACAACTAACACAAACACAAAAGACACAAAGTACAGATCTGAGAGTACTCGCACTTACTGACAGCTAGTTCAAAGTCTATAACAACTAACACGAACACAAAATACACAAAGTACAGATCTGAGAGTACTCGCAGTTACTGACAGTTAGTTCAAAGTCAATAACAACTAATATAAACACAAAATACACAAAATTCAGACTTGAGAGTACTCGCAGTTTCTGACAGCTAGTTCAAAGTCAATAACAACTTACACGAACACAAAAGACACAAAGTACAGATCTGAGAGTACTTGCAGCTACTAACAGCTAGTTCAACGTCAATAACAACTAACACAGACACAAAAGACACAATGTACAGATCTGAGAGTACTCGCAGTAACTGACAGTTAGTTCAAAGTCAATAAAAACTAACACGAACACAAAAGACACAAAGTTCAGATCTGAGAGTACTCGCAGTAACTGACAGTTAGTTCAAAGTCAATAAAAACTAACACGAACACAAAAGACACAAAGTACAGATCTGAGAGTACTCGCAGTTACTAACAGCTAGTTCAAAGTCAATAACAACTAACACAGACACAAATGACACAATGTACAGATCTGAGAGTACTCGCAGTTACTAACAGCTAGTTCAAAGTCAATAACAACTAACACAGACACAAAAGACACAAAGTACAGATCTGAGAGTACTCGCAGTTACTGACAGCTAGTTCAAAGTCAATAACAACTAACAAACATAAAAGACACAAAGTACAGATCTGAGAGTACTCGCAGTTATTGACAGCTAGTTCAAAGTCAATAACAACTAACACTAACACAAAATACACAAAGTTCAGACTTGAGAGTACTCGCAGTTACTAACAGCTAGTTCAAAGTCAATAACAACTAACACAGACACAAAAGACACAATGTACAGATCTGAGAGTACTTGCAGTTACTGACAGCTAGTTCAAAGTCAATAACAACTAACACAGACACAAAAGACACAATGTACAGATCTGAGAGTACTCGCAGTAACTGACAGTTAGTTCAAAGTCAATAAAAACTAACACGAACACAAAAGACACAAAGTTCAGATCTGAGAGTACTCGCAGTTACTAACAGCTAGTTTAAAGTCAATAACAACTAACACAGACACAAAAGACACAATGTACAGATCTGAGAGTACTCGCAGTTATTAACAGCTAGTTCAAAGTCAATAACAACTAACACAGACACAAAAGACACAATGTACAGATCTGAGAGTACTCGCAGTTACTGACAGCTAGTTCAAAGCCAATAAGAACTAACAAACACAAAAGACACAAAGTACAGATCTGAGAGTATGTACTCGCAGTTATTGACAGCTAGTTCAAAGTCAATAACAACTAACACGAACACAAAAGACACAAAGTACAGATCTGAGAGTACTCGCAGTTACTAACAGCTAGTTCAAAGTCAATAACAACTAACACAGACACAAATGACACAATGTACAGATCTGAGAGTACTCGCAGTTACTAACAGCTAGTTCAAAGTCAATAACAACTAACACAGACACAAAAGACACAAAGTACAGATCTGAGAGTACTCGCAGTTACTGACAGCTAGTTCAAAGTCAATAACAACTAACAAACATAAAAGACACAAAGTACAGATCTGAGAGTACTCGCAGTTATTGACAGCTAGTTCAAAGTCAATAACAACTAACACTAACATAAAATACACAAAGTTCAGACTTGAGAGTACTCGCAGTTACTAACAGCTAGTTCAAAGTCAATAACAACTAACACAGACACAAAAGACACAATGTACAGATCTGAGAGTACTCGCAGTTACTGACAGCTAGTTCAAAGTCAATAACAACTAACACAGACACAAAAGACACAATGTACAGATCTGAGAGTACTCGCAGTAACTGACAGTTAGTTCAAAGTCAATAAAAACTAACACGAACACAAAAGACACAAAGTTCAGATCTGAGAGTACTCGCAGTTACTAACAGCTAGTTCAAAGTCAATAACAACTAACACAGACACAAAAGACACAATGTACAGATCTGAGAGTACTCGCAGTTATTAACAGCTAGTTCAAAGTCAATAACAACTAACACAGACACAAAAGACACAATGTACAGATCTGAGAGTACTCGCAGTTACTGACAGCTAGTTCAAAGCCAATAAGAACTAACAAACACAAAAGACACAAAGTACAGATCTGAGAGCATGTACTCGCAGTTATTGACAGCTAGTTCAAAGTCAATAACAACTAACACGAACACAAAATACACAAAGTTCAGACTTGAGAGTACTCGCAGTTACTAAAAGCTAGTTCAAAGTCAATAACAACTAACACAGACACAAAAGACACAATGTACAGATCTGAGAGTACTCGCAGTTACTGACAGTTAGTTCAAAGTCAATAAAAACTAACACGAACACAAAAGACACAAAGTACAGATCTGAGAGTACTTGCAGTTACTTACAGCTAGTTCAAAGTCAATAACAACTAACACAGACACAAAAGACACAATGTACAGATCTGAGAGTACTCGCAGTTACTGACAGCTAGTTCAAAGTCAATAACAACTAACACAGACACAAAAGACACAATGTACAGATCTGAGAGTACTCGCAGTTACTGACAGCTAGTTCAAAGTCAATAACAACTAATATTAAAGAAATCATGTATTAAAAACTAAACTTTCAATCAATACACATCCAATATTCAATGGATTTGTTGCAAAGACGTCATTAACAGTCAAAGAAAAGTAAAACAATTCATTCATAGAACTTTGAAATACAATATTGAATTTTGACACTATGTCTTCTAATTCACAAATAGTATACCAGAAATTCTTGGCCGTTAATTTATACTTTTGCGGTGGTATGTGACTTTATGAAAACAGTATTTAGCTATGTGAAAATTCAACGGTAATTCTTTCGATATAAACTTTGTAAGTCTTTTTGTGTTTTGTGATATTATATGTCATATGATTTATAATATTGGATGTAACACGTCTTCTGATAGGCTGAAAGTTTT